GGACTGACGAGGCCAGGACAGGAGAGGTGAGGCGGGATGAGAGCGAAAAGAAAGAAAGAGAGAGGACCGAAAGTAATGAGATGACAGAGATGATCGGACGGTAAGAGAGGAGTGATAGAATGAACCATCAACCGACCGGAAAAGGGCAGAGCGATTGCCGCACAACCACAACGACGTAGGTAGGACGATAGCAAAGTAGAAAAGTGGAAATGGAAAAGTTGTGTCGTGCGTGCGAGTGCGAGAGAGTCGCTTGGAAACGCACCGCTGCCCAACCCGAACCAGCCCAGCGCAGCGTTGCCCACACCAAGGCACGCGGAGGCCAGGGGAGACTTGTCGGGGGAGCCCACACCTCAGCTCCTACGCAGGCCGGAGGACTTTAGAAGTAGCGCAGCAGTCTTCTCTTACTCCTCACAGCTTGGAAATGTTGGCGAAGTGACTGAAACCGAAGGAAAATAAACCAAAGGCAAAAGGCATCCCGCGAGTTGTCAGTGGCACGATTGCCGTGGCAGATGCGACAACCAATAGGAGGAGAGCTTGGTTGGGGCTGGTCCGATCGCGCGCCACGCAAACGGCGGTCGTGCCCAAGAAGCGAGCCCAGTCGGACACCTAGACAGGGTCCCGGCCTGCGTCGCTCACAACGCGGGCAGAGTCGGTCGTTCGGGGGTCACGGAAGGTCGCTCAGTCGGTCGGTCGGGAGAAAGCACGGGCGGTCTGAGGTTAGGGTGGGTGGCAGTTCCGGAGCGCGCACCTGCTCCGGTTTGGAAGGGGTGGGGGGGGGAGGAGGGGGGCAGGGGGGGCGTCGCGGCGCGGGGCGGCGCGGAGCGTCGCGCGCGGTCGGCGGGTGGGCGGACGGGATGCTCCGCGCACTCCTCTCCTCACGCGCCTGCTCCTCGTGCCTGGCTGGCTCGCTGGCTGGAATGAGCGCGGTGGTGGGGAGCGTTTTTGATGGGATGGAAATCATGCCGTCCCAAGGCGAAGACGCCTCCAACGGGCCTGGGCCGCCCTATCATCAACTTTTGATTGGTCGACTGGGCCAATATGCTAGCTGCAGCAGGCTTGTTTCAGGACCTGCTGGAAACGAGCACGATGATCCTGAGTGGCCATCCGGGCCGCTTATCGTGTCTTTTGTACGGCACGCGTCTTTCGTGCGGACGGTTCGACAGTGGTCCACGGTGCTGCTCCCCTTGCTCGTGCTCCTCTTTCTGCCTCTCCTTCTGTTCCTCCTGCTTCCTCGACCGTGCTTCGCCCCTCTGCCTCTGCCTCTGCCTCTGCTGCCTCTGCTGCTACTGTCCCTACTTCCCTTTCCACCTCTTCCCCTGTTCCTCCTGGAGCTTCAGCGAAGGCATGAGCTGGAGCTGTGGGAAGAGGATACCCAGCAGGGTGAGGGTACTACCTCCTGTCGGTATGAACAAGGTAATCGTCGTCGTCGACGCCGTCTGCCGTTTTCGGTATCGTCGAGGGTCGTCCCCACCCGGACCTTTCGTTGATTGCCTCTTCTCTTCTGTTCATCTTTGTGCTTTGTGTTGTTAGGGCAAGGGCAAAGCAAAGCAAAGAGCAGCCCAACTGTCCCCGAGTGCTTCCCCCGCCCGCTTTGTGGTCTTCTTGCTCCTCCTTCGCTTCTCCTCCTTGGTTCTTGCTGCCTCTTCCTTCCCCTCGGCTTCCTCCTGCTCCTGTTCTTTTTTCTTTCCTTCCCCTCCTCCCCCCCCCCCCCCCCCCCCCCCCCCCCCCC